AGGTTTAGTCATTTGTCTCTATCGCGATATTCGTTAAAAATGCCCAAATAACTTCAAAATGACATTAGTCGGTTAAAAAAAATCATGGAGACTCGAGTTTTTTTTCAAATTGTTTGTTGAAAAGTGCACTTTACAATGGTCTATGTGATATTTTCGGAAAAAAATCAGGGTGATCCAGGTAGCGCGTCAAACAATCAAATTTTTTAAGAAAAAAAATGCTTGGGCTTTATCAAAACATGGAGATTCGGCATCGACTTGCACCTAATTTCACATCAAGTTTTTCTTAAAGTACAGATAATTACCTATAAAATGAAAAAAAAATCGTCTTGATACGATGAAAATTGACCGAGTTATGCGCGTTTGAAAAATTGCAAAATTTCGATGAAAAATTTTGTTGCGATAATTTTGTTGCGTAGAGTATATATATATATATATTAGAATAAATACGTATATATAAAACAGAACGTATTCAAAATTATCTTTACAGATAATTCTTTTGTATTTAACCTTTTCGCTCCTAACGCTGGCTATGTTCGGCATCCACGAAGAAATCCGTACAGACGAACGCTGGCTACAGCCAAATAATTTATAGTGTTCCTTATAATACAAGTTACGTCAAACCATCCCGTACAGCCATATACCAAGCGTTGGTAACACTGATTTTGTCAAATGATGTATATTTAAACATAATTAGTAATGGTAGTATATTGATACCTGTAAAGCAAATGATATGGAAGGGATAATTAAAAAACGGGTTACAAAGAAATTAAAATTATATTGTTTTAAGGGACCTTTCTTTCAAAAACATTTCAATATGGCGTTGTTCATGCTGCTCGGGCATAAAATGAAATTTTAAACACTAAAGACTCTCCATATATAATGTGTACACTTTTGGCGCGGGGCCCCAATCAATGGCGGTATTCCGATGGATCGTCCGCTTTCTGAGCGAAATAGTTAACAAAACTGTTTTCATTAAATATAATGATAGCATACTATCTTTCAGACGTATGGCACAGTTTTATCTGTTAGGATAACTCTTACGCAGGTATATAATAAACTTTCTGTTCTTGCAATAATGAATGAGATATTTTGTTTGATTATGGTTTGATATAAATAGGATGTGTGCGCGCGTATGTATAAATAAATACATTTTATTTAAAACCAAAATCTCGGATTTTGTCATAACAATCGGAATGAATTTCAGATTGTTATGACAAGAATCGAGATTTTACATTTAAAACTAGAATTATTATATATAAGTATTATATTATTTATTATATTATAAAAGGATTTGTTGTGTAATATTTTTCAGCTTGGTTGGAGTGCGTCGTTTTTTAAATTTGCATCATCAGAATCATGATTAATTTTAATCTCAGCGCCCTATAGCAGTCCAATTATTGTCAGTCGACACAAATCGGCGAATATACTGTTTTATGTCGTCATGATGTTTCCTGTTGTGAATTGGAACAAAATAGTATGTACCATGGTTGATGAGAAAACGTCTTCTTTTATAGTTGTCAATATAATTTTGAAAAAATGTACAGAAATTTTGAAAGTTATAACGATAGGATTAAATTTGAATTTCTCTATGTTACATGCATGAAGTAAGGTATAAGGAGACTCCACTCAGTCTAGCTAGTCGACGAAACATGAACCGATTTTAGGTTTCGAGTTTAAGTTCCGATTCTCGACACTCACAGCGCTCGTGAAATTAATAGTGCTGCGCATAATGAGTGCGCCGTAGTTAGAAACGGTAGCTAAAAACGGTTTAAAAAGGTGGAAAGAAACTGTATTCCGAAAAAGAGTTCTGAAGAACCGATCGTCTAGTCTAGATTGCCTTGCCACTAATAGAAGAAGTATTCCTTTCTTTCTGAAATTGCAAGAACTGAAAGAACAATTACTTTCTTTCTGAAATTGCTAGTACGTTTAAGTTGGTGGAAACGCAGTGATTTCTTTGTTCTTAAATGAATCCAATTATCCGATGGCAATTGAAGTAGATGAAGATGCTCCAATAGCCATACAAAATTAAAATCTGCATTGAACGTTGTTGCTCTAGGGCAATCCATCATGTATCTCTATTTCCACTAAAACATCACTGTATAATTTGCGAGTAACATGCACAACAATTTCATATAGATTACACAATTTAACAATACAAAAGAGCTAACGCGGATTTTTCGGATTACGAAAGTGTTATAATTTTTAAAATATAAATAAAATAAACATTTACGTAAGCTCAGTTTCTGGCAATCCGCTTCGTTGCGTTTTTTTTAGTCGAACATAACGTAGTTAAAATTTTGGAGGAGACAGGTTCTTCTTCTTCTTTTTAATTTTTGACTCACGTTTCCAAGCAGTCAATAGGAGGTCGATGAGGAGGCAGGTTATGTTCGTGACACTTTTCTTACGGCACACTCATTATGCGCAGCACTACTAATTTCACGAGCGCTGTGAGTGTCGAGATTCGGAAGTTAAACTCGAAACCTAAAATCGGTCCACTTTTATTTTACGGAGTGGAGCCTCGTTATATCTTACTTCATGGTTACATGCTCTTTCGTAAGTACCTCATAGATTATGAGTGCACGATGCATCATTTATGCATGTTTACATTCGATGAACAAAGAAATTATGCATAAAACGAAATGCCCCAATAATTTTCAGAGAGACATGTTCGATCAACGAGATATTCTGCGGGTATAGTTACCGAAAAATTTATCCAATAAACGAGTAATTTTGTTATTATATATTTAACATGGTACAATTATCAATGCAATTCAAAATGCAATAAAAATAATATTATTACGTAGTAGCATAATTAAAAAATTAATAATGCGCGATAAAGGGTACGGCAGCGTTGACAATATACGTATAACACAAATTTTGTTGAATCAATAGTTACTTTAATATTAATAAATGTAATATCAACAATAAATAAATCTTATTTACTTTTAATTGTTAAATTGTAATAATATAAAATTTATTAAAATTCTTCTGATGAAATTTATTTACCTTCACCTTGTGGTACGTTGGTTAAGGGTACATTCTAGTAACCACACTAAAAATAAGACCTTTTTGGAATTTTTCTTATAGAAAACTATAAGATGTGTACGATTATAATTTTTCACATATTTATTAATACACATGTCAATATAAAAAAAAATTTTTACAGCAGTATCTTATTCCAAAATTCTAAGAAATTAGTTGAGAGGCGCAGAGTTGAAAAAATGAGATGACCAAACCACAGATCATATATAAGGTAGATTGATATCTCCCGGTTAAAAAAGTGAAACGCTGTTTAGATCCTAACACCATCTAGAGATGTTACGTTCAACTATTTCTATATATTGTCACCGTACTCGCTAGCAATGGCACAACTTCGTCACGTGTTCTTCGTTCTCCTCTTACACTCAAAAGTGTCTCTTTCCTCTCTGTTACAAATTTTGATAGCTAGGTAGATGGTCGGCCAAGATCGTAATTTTTATTACGGAGTTGGGCGTCAGGCACGAGAGAGCGTGCCACTCTCTCCGAAATCTCCTTACTTTTGCCCGTAATCAATTCGCGACGACAAGGGTGATCGCAAGAGGTGTGGGAAATTTGTTGGAGGGCGAGAGAGATAAGCTACAAGAATAACATACGCGAGGATGTAATAATAAAAACAAGTATATTTGGAAAAAGATGATAAAGTAACACTAATGTCATCGGTGCGGCGACGCAATTACAAGTGATCTCCGGAGCTTCGCTCCTTTGCGCTACTCTATATTCTCGGTACTCGCACAGAATCGCCAACTTATCTCTAACGCCGAACGCCGGTCATACGCTACAGCACGAGCTCCTCGGTTCCCCGCGGTAACTTCCGACGGTGTCAAACGCCCTTCTCAGGGTCCGCGCACAAAGATGGTCGCAACTGAGTCGTAGTAGTAAGTCGTTGTCGTAGGTCAACGCACAAGGATTTTACGTATGTCGTTTACGTATATACTATTGCGCCAGTTGTTTGCGTCAACTGACGCAATAGGATATAACATACGTAAAATCCTTGTGCGTTGACCTACGACAACGATTTACGACTACGACTCAGTTGCGACCATCTTTGTGCGCGGACCTTATGCCGGGAGCACATAGAAAAACGTAAGTCCGTAAGACGTAATCAGTAAGGAAATCGTAACATTGGATTCGCTACTGGCCTTACGGTCTCTACTGTGATTGATCAATTCACCTACTGCTTGCGTATTACGGCCTTACGTTCTTGTATGTGTCATGGGTTTTAAGCGAATAGCATACGCGTTATACGGCGCGAGTAGTATACAAATTGCATTTTCGAGTGAAGTTTTTCTTTCACTTTTTATAAAAAACTTTTATTTTTATGAAAATGCGCAAATATTTGAGTTATTAATAAGGTTAATAAAGGGATTAAATTTAAAGAAAATCATCATTCGTAAAAAATCTTTTATTTTGTTTTTGGTTTTATTCTTTTAAAGTCCGGCATTTCTTTTTGTTTTATAAAATCGTTTCGTCGTTTCGTATAATTATTCAAAAAAATATTTGAGAGTGTGTGTGATATTTTAATTATTACAATACGTATTGCATGTTTTGGACAACAGTGACCTAAAAACAGTTTAAAATTCAAGTCAGATAAACTGTCAAATAAAAGAGTTTTCATAACTTCTCGCTGATTTGGTTGATTCAGAAATTCACGCTCGTTTTCGAGTAATTTTTGAATGATAATGAATGCGTATGCTGCACACGTAAGAATATCTTCGTGTGGATAACATAATCCTCCTCGATTATTCGCATCTATCAAATTAGAAAACGCTATAGGCTCATCCGCTGTTAAAAAAACTTTGCAATACTCGCATTTAAATTTTTTTATTGCTGAATGCGCAGTGTATCCAGCTATGTACACCAGAAGTCTCCTTTTCAATATGATCAATATCGTCGTCGTCAACAAAGCATGTGTTTCTTAATAAATCGGGTACATTTCCCACGAATATCGAGAGGCACCTTTGCTCAAAGTGTTCAGGTTTTTTATCTGCTACAACAAGAACTCGATGACAGGCTTTCGCTGCGGTAATATCACTAATAAAGATTTCAAAATATCGATGCACGCATTAATGTTCTCCATTGCTGAACAATCTTGATATTTTTTGTTCATAGATATCAACACTTGATGGAGAATATCTTTGATTTCAATGACCGAACTCACGATAAATGGTACATTGAATTTCTCGTTTAGTTTTGTCACCACCCGCGATCCATAAAATAATCTTAAAGTGAAATCTTCTGACACTCGAACACAACATTTGATATTTGGGTATGAGATATCTTCAATGTAAAGTATGTAAAGAATGTTGTCCCTGCGTGAAACAATCCATTTTTGCAGATCGATGCGTTCTTTTAACTTTGCGTAGAGTTCGTCGAGATTAGAAAATCCGATTTTCTCGTTGAACACTTGCTCCGTTTCGATACTCCTCTCAATAGCTTGTTCAATCATGACATGCTCTAATTTCATTCGCTTTGTTTCTGGCGCTAGACGTTTAGGTGCATCGTTGGTTGTCATGTAACGAGAGCAATTCGGAAACTGACTTGGGACAGCGTCTGAACAAACATATAATTGCAATGAGGAAAGACAATCTTGTTGCTTTTCTGTAAGAAGTATTGAATTTGAATTGAAGTTTTTAATACAATCTCAGTATTCATAATTCTGTTATTAAAAATTGTACGACTAGAAAATCAGTTTTGTGAAGACATTTTGGACAATTAATTTGGCATTCGAAATTCGACATGGGATGCAGAAACTTATTGGAACGCATATTAAGAAAAACGTAAATCTTAAATTTAAATCTTAATTATCGTTTTGAAAATTAGGTCCGACAACGTGGTCTAACAAAAGAAAATGTAGATTGCAAAGCTATATGGAACAGCTATATTCGCATTATAAAAATTAAAAACAAGATAAAACGACATAACATTTAAACCTTCGATCAATCGTGGATGTGAAGTTAATAGTTTGCCAGTCGATTCGACGTAGTGGCTGGTTTCCCGTTCAATTTCGGATAACCGGAAATGTAACTCACATACCTGTAGATGTAAAAGAAAAATATGTGAAGAATACATTTTTTTTAAACGGATCCTGGCTATTACATTGATTCTAGAGATATTTTTTACTATATTAAATCTTAGAAATTAATTGAAGAAGAAATTGATTATAATAGATTACTTTTGAATTGTTTGTCGCCGGGAAGTTCTTTCTGCAGATGGCATGTAACCATTTTCGTTCCATCTCTTCATTTTTTGGAAACGAAAATGTTGCGACCTTTGGACCGTTCTTGTAATTGCCATTACAATTTGGAACGCAGCATTTGAACGGCATTTCTGTAAATTAATAAGATATGTCAATAAGAAAGAGGGTATTGTTGAAATAACCAAAACTTAACCTATAGACAAACATATTTGTCCAACTTTCAAATAATTTTTATAGTCCGGTAAATTAATGAGATATAAACTCGCCTCAAAAGCACTCGAAGTCGCAAACAATAAATTATTAAAAAGAAATTCCACAAAACCACAAACTCTCAATCGTTTACTGTTTCTGTTCACGTAACACTGAAAGACGCTCGGCCTACTTGTGATGACGTCACAGAGATGTCGGAACGAGGTGGAGAGGCCTTGTCTATAGATGGTGTTAAGACAGACCATCCTTGGCATCCATGGTGGATGAACGTATCATTGTTGGATCGAGAGCATTCGAAATAAATTTATTATTTTGCAAACGAGGTGTTAGCGAACTTCCTTACAAGTCAGAAGTGGGATCGACACGTGCCGTGTAACACTCGGAATTCGATCATTATGCACGTGAATAAGTGAGTGAGGCGCGAACAATGGGACGCCATAAGTCGCGTCGCGACAGTAACGATTCCGAAAGGGATTCGTCTGATTGTAAGGCTAGGAAGCGGCGATGGTCTTCTCCGTCACGAGCTGACGAGAGGAAGAGGAGAGATACGCGCTTTGAGAGGTTAGAGCGCATGGTGGAAAGTCTGGATCGGCGATCGCACGGACATGGTACGTGTATCCATCGAGGGGACGAGTTAATGATTCCCTCTTTCGATCCAGAAAAGGACGATTTGATGATCGACAAATGGATCAAGTATGTGGATGAGCTATCTGCGCAGTACGGTTGGGATGACCGAGCAATCATGAGGCTAATTCCAAGTAGACTAAAAGGGCACGCTCGCCAATGGTATGATACACGGCCTCAGCTAGCCGTTACATGGGCGGAAACAAAGGAAGAGCTGACGCAACAGTTTCGTAAGTCCGTTCCTTTTAGTAAATTATTCAAGGAAGCCGCGTTGTATGAGAGTTCTCCCGGACAGTCGTTAGGCGACTATTGCTTTCAGAAATTAAATAAGTTGCGTAAGTTAGACATTGATATACCGGATAAATATCTTGTCAATGCTGTGATTGGCGGGATAACGGACGCGAGAGTCGCGAGGGCGGTGCGATCGGCATAATTAGAGAACGCAATAGCTTATATGCGCACATGACGACTCTCGGTAATTTGCCGTCGAAAAACGATCGGAATAAGAATATTCTCGCGTCAAGTCAGGGCCGTGATCGGAAAAATCGGCAATCTGAGCATGCGTCGCAGGCTGCGAGCACTGAGAATTCTACATCAGGCCGGACGAGTGATAGTGATAACAAACAAAATCGGGTAAAATGTTTTAATTGCGGAAATACAGGGCATTTTGCTAGGAAATGTCGCGAACCACGCGCTGAGTGCGAACAGTGTAAGCGAAAAGGGCATATCGCGGCCATGTGTCCGCAAAAGAAAAACATAGATATCGTCAATGTTACGGGGTCCTCGACAAATTCGTACGAACGTATGTTAGTAGTTAATGGCTATAAAGCCATAGGACTAATCGATACCGGAAGTGGTTGCACGCTGTTACGCGCTTCAGTCGCTGAGAAATGTGGTAAGGCTGTCACGTCGGTATCAAGCGTGATATTGAAGGGTTTCGCTGGGCAAACTGTGTCTAGTAATCGAGTAATTCCTTGCGATATCCGAGTAATGGACGCACGAGCGCATGTTAATGCAGTTGTTGTACCAGACGAGTGTCTTACGAATGACGTTATTGTTGGTCGTGACTTCCTCGAGCAGGAACACGTGATGATAATCAAACGTGCCAGTGAAGTACTGATCAAGCAATTGCCCGCGATTAGCAATAAATTCGAGGTTACGATTGATGCAAACTTCTCTAGTGTGACATCGGAACATACAATGCGTATCGGTGATGTCTCGGAAGACGCACGACGACAGTGTGTTGAGCTAATCAAAGAATATGGCGACTGTGTTTCATCGCCAATGAGAGATTTAGGTAGGACGGAAGCTGTGTTGATGAGTATACGTTGCATTACTGACACACCGGTGGTCTATCGTCCGTATAGGTTGGCCGAGTGGGAAAAGCGAGCGTTTCGAATGATTGTAAATGAGCTGCTAGAGCAAAATATCGTGAGGAAATCGAGTTCGCTGTACACGAGTCCCGTGGTGCTCGTGAAAAAGAGTAGCGGTGAATATCGTATGTGCATAGATTTCCGGAAGTTGAATGCGATTACTGTCAAAGATAAATACCCGCTACAGCGGATTGATGATCAATTGGACAAACTCGGTAACAATTGTTACTTTACGGGATTGGATCTTGCATCGGGATACTACCAGGTACCGATGGCGGCTGACTCTGTCGAGAAAACTGCTTTTGTGACCCCAGAGGGCCATTATGAGTTTTTGCGGATGCCGTTCGGATTAACGAATGCGCCGGCAGTCTTTCAAAGGTTGATGGATCAGGTGCTGGGTGACGTAAAGAACTCAATAGCCTTTCCATATTTAGACGACGTTATCATACCATCTAGAACGATAGAGGAGGGTATGAGTCGGTTGCGTCAGGTTCTGGATGTGTTCCGGGCGCATAAATTAACTCTCAAGTTGGAGAAGTGTTCTTTCTTTTCAGAGACTATAGAATATTTAGGTAGAGAAATCAGCAGACAAGGGATTCGACCCGGAAAACATAAGATAGACGCTGTGGTGCGTATGAAGGCTCCTGAATCGGTTAAGCAAGTGCGGCAGTTTTTAGGGCTAGCCGGCTACTTTCGGCGTTTCATAGCAAATTTTGCAACTATAATGGAACCGATTGGACGCCTAACCCGGAAGGATGAATCATGGTCATGGGGAAAGGACCAAAGCGAGGCATTCTCCATGATTAAAAGCAAACTCATAACTCGACCTGTATTAGCTATTTACGATCCAAGTAAGCCAACCGAAGTGCATACCGATGCTAGTGCGATCGGTGTGGGAGCTGTTTTGTTACAGGAAGTTGGCGGTAAGCTGCAGGCGATCGCCTATTTCAGTAAACAGACGACAGTCGACCAAAGGTGTTACCATTCATACGAGCTGGAGACGATGGCAGTCGTATTGGCTTTGCGGCATTTTAGGGTATATGTGCTGGGAATACATTTTAAAGTAGTAACGGATTGTAATGCGTTACGTGCGACTTTTGCAAAAAGAGACCTGCTGCCCCGAATTGGTCGATGGTGGTTGGAGGTGCAGGAATACACGTTCGAGATCGAATACCGTGCGGGATCCAAGATGGCGCACACGGATGCGCTTAGCCGCAACACTGTTCCGGAAGTTTTGGAAGTATCTCCAGTAGATATAACCGAAGCTGACTGGATACTTGCCGCTCAGTTGCAAGATGAGCAGCTGGCGCGGATCCGAACGATCTTGTTAACTGAGAAACCGACTCGTGAGAGTAAGCATTACTTTGGCGAGTATTTGGTACAAAATGGTAAGGTATACCGGCGCCTAACTAATGGTGGTAAGGCTTGGGTAGTGCCGCGGGATGCGCGGATGCAGATTTGTAGGTTGTGTCACGACGATGCTGGCCACCTAGGAGCTGAAAAGACGTTGGAACGTATTCAGAGGAATTACTGGTTCGCTGGAATGAGGCAATTTGTAGAGAAATACATTCGTGCTTGTTTGCACTAATCGTGAGCGACCGAGGTACCGCATTCACATCCCAGGCGGTTCGCATGTTTTGCGAGGCTTATGGTATTAAGCATGTATTGAACGCCGTTGCCACTCCGCGAGCAAATGGACAATGTGAACGGTATAACAAGACGATCGTACAGGCGTTGGCCACCACCACCGCTGGGCGAGACTCTAGAGACTGGGACGAGACTGTGAAGCAAGTCCAAAGTGCTCTTAATACAGTTCATAATAAGAGCATTAACTCTACACCAATGAAGGCGCTCATTGGATGTGAGACGCGAGGCGTGGCTGAAGCTCGCCTTCTATCTGAGGTCCAAGATACTTTCCAACGGTTGGAATTGGACGAATTGCGCGAGGACATAAAGGCGCATATTGGTCGGAGCCAGCAGGAGCAAAAAGAACGGTATGATCGGTCGCGCCGTGACGCCGTGAGATACCAGGAAGGCGATTTGGTGTTGGTACGGATCACGAGTGATCCAGCGACGA